CCGTATTAAGGAGCGCAATAGGGTGGTAACTTCCACACTGTGCAGGGTCTGGGCACTCCTTTGGGATCAAAGAGATGTACGCACGTAGTGCATCCAGCGAATATTGGGGAGCTCTTTGCCAGAGTTAAATGCTGCCAGCATATGGGTAGAAAGGGAAGAGAGAAAGGTTTTGTAGTACATAGCCATGTAGCCATCTGGGCCAGGGGCCTTTTTAGGTTTAGAATGAGATAGCGCTTGTCCCAGTTCCTCCACCAAGATTGTAGCCTCCAGTTCCTCGCAAGTGGAAGGGGGAAGGGAGGGCATGTCAGAAGCAGCCAGGTACGACTGTATCAGCTACTGTAAATCGTGAGAGGGACCCCGGGGAGTCATCGCAGAGATGTTGTATAAGTTCCAGAAGAAAATTCCTTAGCCACCCCATTGAAGGTAGATATTAGCTGACCCATGGATGACTTATGCTGCATTATGTGGGATCGGGTACGGGCGCCTCGAAGAGCATGAGCCAGAAGGGTACCAGGTTTCTTGGAGTACTCGTACATGGTGCGATGGGACCATGCTAGTTTCTGTTTAACTTTGTGAAAGAGAAGACCGTTCAGTTCCTCCCTGATTTTCAGGATTTCTTTGTAATGAGTTTTAGCAATACTGGCCTTATGTGCGCCCTCTAGCCTCTTAAGACGGACCATGAGAGCGTCTGCTTGGGAGGAGCGCTCCCTTTTGAGTTTGGAAGATATAGAAATCAACAAACCTTGGAGGACAGGCTTATGCACCTCCCACAACGTGTAGGGGTTGGTAACTGAGGCAGCATGGAAAGCAAAGTATTCCTTGATTGAGTGTTCGAAGTGTTCGATAGCTTCCTTAACCCCAGGGGATTGAAGGATGGCTTCATTTTAGCACCAAGACGGGGGGCTGTGAACACACGGTCCCAAAGTCAAATCAAGGAAAACTGGAGCGTGATCAGAGAAAGTGATGTTACCAATTAACGATGTTCGAACTTTGGGGAGGTCTTTCTGTTTAACAAAAAGGTAATCTAGGTGCGAGTACGTCTGATGAACTGAAGAGTAATATGAGTAGTCTCTTGTGTTAGGGTGTAGAATGCGCCAGGGGTCAACTAAATGAAGTAGATGAAGTTCAGCCTTCAGGTGCTTAAGACAGGAGAACGAGAGATGGGAAGATCCCTTAGAAACGTCTAGGTGTGGTTCCAGTGCAAAGTTGATATCTCCGCCGAAGACTAGGGAGCCCTCCATGAAATCAAGCAGGACCGGGAGCAGCCCTCTCAGAAACAGCAGATGATTGGCGTTAGGGAAGTAGACAATGGAGAAGCTCACCACCGATTGACCAATCTTACCCTTGACCAACAGATAGAGACCCAGCAGATCCTGGCGCATCGCGGAGAGGGACCAGGGCACAGATTTAGCTATTAAAGGCTCACCCTCTTCGATTTGGAAATGGGTGAAGGACTGTGGTATACAATGGGGAAATCACGATTGTATAGACGTGGAATGTGGGCAACTTGAAAATGGGTCTCTTGTATAAATGTCACCTGTGACCTCTCTCTCTTCAAATCCAAAAGGAGTCTAGAGCGCTTCTCAGGAACACCAAGGCCCCGGACATTCAGGGACGCTATCCGTATTGTATCCATGGCCATCATGGGAGAATCTGAGAAAACCACAGTGAAACCAGAGACCCAAATCCCAGGAGGGAGAAGAGAGAAAGAGAATTTGGGGGGGGGGGGGGAGAAAAGGAGGTAGAGAGGGAAAGAGGAGAGAAACAGCAAAGGTGGTCAAATATGGGAAAACGAGAGAGAAAGGGAAAGAAGAGGGAAGAAAAAAAGGGGGGGGGAGGACGATGCAGAATAAGAAAGACAAAAGGGGGAGAAAGAAGAAAAGAAAAAAAGTGGGGGGGGGGGGGGGGGGGAGGCCAAGAAGGAGACAGGGGGGACCGGGAAAAGGTGCAGGCCAATAAGGATGGGAATGGGGGGGGGGGGGGGAAGGCTGTAAACTAAAAGTGAGTATCACAAAAGACCGAAAACAGAGTGTACGATAGTACAACTGCCACGCAGGCCCGAGAGGCGGGTAGTGGTAGGGACTAGGAATAAGGGAATAGAGAGGTGCCGGCCGACCAGACAAAATGAAGATTCGAACAATACTGTAGTCTGACACAAGCGATACTAGAGACATTGTGTGAGAGGAGGAACAGAAGTGCATCTATGAGCATGGTAGAGACATGTAGCTGACCCCCCAGGAGGGAGACAACGAGAGGTCTGTATGAGACAGACACTGGCCGGATTGTACGATCCCCACACCCCGAAGCGTAGGGCAGGGGGGTGGAACAGGCAGGCCACAATAGAAAGGGGCCGTGCCCAAGGCGAATGCCTACCGGTCGGATAGTGGTCCCCACAAGAAGGTATAGTCATGGTATATGGCAACACAAACATCAAACATATGGAAACAACATACTACAGTGCATAAATGGAACTAGGGACTGTGAGACAATGGAGTCTCTTCTGAACCTGCCACCACAAAGAGGTCCACGGGGTGGAAGGTACCCACTGGAAAAAAAGGAAAAAAAAAAAAAACGCCTTGCATACTGGCATATTTGTCAGGATAAATTATATAGTGACCATACGACACCCTGACTCACAGAACCAGGATAGTAGAGCGTAGCCCAACCAGACGTTCTGAAGTATCAATAGCCATTGGAGGTGAGGTCAGTCCTCTGTGGTATATGAGAGTTGTCTGGGTGGCCTATGTCTCAAGAGCATCTACGACAATCATCTGAGCTCGCGGAGGCAGTGGTACATACACTGAGACCTGGAAGAGGAGATCTGTCCAGTTCAGGATTTCCACAGCAGGTTGTTCCAAAAAGGTAAAACGTTCTGGTAACTGGTCAGGTGAGTGGAGAGGGAAGGATGCTCCTTGCTTTGCAAAAATTAGGTGGAAAGGGTGACTCCATCGGTAAGTGGCTCTGGACTTCCGAATGATCTCAAGGAGTGGGCGCATTGCATTGCGTAATTGACGGGTGAGCCGGGAAACATCTGGGTAGATCCTAATAACTGCACCAAAGTCTATCGGGCCTTTCGCCTAGGCCTGAGAATCTCCTCCTTGAGGGGAAAGAAGTGCAACCAGAAACAGCACATCCCTGGGTACGGTGGGTGAGATGATTGATCCGGGTGGCCGCGGGCCACCCAGCTGATGGACCCGGTCAAGCTTCAATGCCTCAGTAGGGGGTCTACTAAGCAGCTGGTTTTAATATGGCGGGCCACCGTTGGACACAGGTCCGAGTATGCTGTGGCCTCCGGGATGCCCCTCAGCCATAAGTTGTTTCTCCTGCTCCGGTTCTCCCCATCGTCAACCAGCAAACTTACCTCCGTGAGCTGAGGGCGGTAGTCAGAGTGTGCCCTCTCCTGGGTAGTGAGGCAGGATTCAGTGTCTGTGAAGGTTGTTTCCAGGGCCGAAACCCTCTTCTCCACTGTATCAATCAGCTGGTGAAGGTCGTGGATCTCCCTAGAGAGGGTGGTGATGATGGAGGATGCCAGGGACTGCAAGTCCTGTTTAGATGGTAGGTCGGCCAACAAGCCCCGGAGGTCAACGAGAGCCAGAGAGTCAGGTCCGGGGTCTCCAGGGGCATCCGGGTCAGGTGGGTTTGGAAGGTGAGGAGGAGAGCCCAGTCTAGTAGCCGTCAGGGTCACCCCCAGACAGGGGCGAGGGTGAAGGGTCGCGGGTTTCCTGATGGTCGAGGATGCGGCCTGGCCGGAATTTATCGGCGCCATCTTAGGTGAGGAGGCGAAGATCCCATCAAGTGCTGTTGTGGGAAATTGCCTTATTATAGGGTTCCCCGTGTGCCGACTGAGGTCTCCTCTCCAGACATATGTTGCAGACATATGTTGCAGACATATGTTGCAAGTGACAGAGCAGGCTAGACGGAGTGTCTGGGAGGCGGTCCCCACAGAGCTCTCAGAAAACGTGCTCATGCTGCCATGTCCAAACCACGCCCCCCCCCCCCCCCCCCGATTGGTTATCTTTGGTGTTTGTACATTCATATATGTATATTGCATTGTTTAGGTTTCATGCTACCCTTGTTGTGTTTAAATAAGTCACACGGTGTATTTGGTGTTCAGTCCCCTCTTGTAGATGAGCACATCAGGTCACATCTGTTATAAAGAATACCAGCACGTTATATCCTAACATACCTAGCACAGGAATACCCAGAAACACTCCAAGAAAGTCTGTCCTCCACCTTCATAAAAAAAAAAAAAGGCAACAAACCAATATACAGTTTAAATGCAGGGACTTTGTACCACAAGTCCATAGCATAAACAACGAAAACATCGGCTTGTCTGAATCACTAACTAAACTTAGGTCAGTTCCTAACTAACAAGGTGCTGCCTAAATGGTTCCCCAAACAAACACCTTTTTAGTTTTCTCTCAGCAGTCAGTCTTTTAGCACAGCAGCAGGGTCTCACAGCAGAGAATGTAAAAAATAGATAGCCCTGGGCATCAGCCCCCATTCACATTTGAGCATAGAAAACATAGGCGATTTTAAAGTATTTTTAAGCATGAAGACGGTTCTTCGGGGCAAGATTCAACATTTTGGTGCCACAGACCTGTTATGGCAGCTCCTGAAAAATGCGTGTAACACTTTTTTTGTCAGCTTCCATTGAAGTTTCCTCAAAATCTATGTTTGTTTAACCACCTTCCGCCCGCCATATAGAAATATGACAGGCGCAAGGTGGTTCTCTCTCGTTCTGGGAGGACGTCATATGACACCCTCCCATTCTCAGCGCGGCGACCTGCGGTGCGCTGTGTCCGATCACGGAAAGAGCCGAAGATGTCGGCTCGGTCATGTGATCAGTTGTGTCCAATCACAGCTGATCACATGTAAACAGGGAAATGCCGGTTATCTGCATTTCTCTCCTCTCGAGCTGTCACGCTGACAGCTCGAGAGGAGAGCCGGTAATCAGCTTTCCGCGGAGCGGACATATACACTGATCATCAGGGCACTGATCAGTGTGCCCTGATGATCAGTGGAGCCCCAGCAGTGCCACCTGTCAGTGTCCATCAGTGCCTTTATGTCAGTGCCCATCAGTGCACATATCAGTGCCTACCAGTGCACATCAATGCTACATATCAGTGCCCATCTGAGCTGCCTTTCAGTGTCACCCATCAGTGCTGCCAATCAGTGCTGCCAGTCAGTGCCGCCTAACAGTGCCAGTCAGTGCCGCCTAACAGTGCCAGTCAGTGCCGCCTAACAGTGCCAGTCAGTGCCATATATCAATGCCATGTATCAGTGCTGCCTTTCAGTGCCCATCAGTGATGCCTGTCAATGCCCATCAGTGCCACCTACCAGTGCCTCATCAGTGCCCATCAGTGCAGCCTATCAGTGCAGCCTCATTAGCGCACATCAGTGAAGGAGAAAAATAACTTATTTACAAAATTTTATAACAAAAACTAAGAAAAAACATTTTCTTTCAAAATGTTCAGTGGTTTTTGGTTTAAGAAAAAATAAAAAACCCAGAGGTGATTAAATACCACCAAAATAAAGCTCTGTCACAAAAAAATGATAAAAATTTCATATGGGTACAGTGTTTGACCGCGCAATTGTCATTCAATTGGGCAGGAAGGGGGTATAAGTGCCCTGTAGGCTAGTGGTTAAGTGCAAGTCCTTTTGCTTGTTTTTGAAAAGGTGAGGGAGGATTAGAACCCCTGTCAGATTTACATTGCATTGCTATGTTAAAGAGATTTCCCTTACTTGCTTTTAGGTAGCAAACGTTTCAGCACTTATTAAAATTCTACACTTTCTTCCCTGGCTCCCACCAAAACATTTACAACAGGGACTTTTAGACCATCCACTCATTGGGGCTATGATCCTGAACTTTCATGCAGCTTTGTAAGTTGACCTCCTTCAACATACCCCGGACCTTTAACCGTGATCCAGGGTAATCCTGATTTTCCCCCCGGGAATGCATAGCAATTTTCTGGCTTGAGAGTAGCCATATGACGACATTCAGGCGTGTCAATTTGTCTTCTTTTTTTTAAATCAGATCTTTTTTTATTAATTGAAGTACGCATTCATGTACACATATAATTAGACAACCACAATCTCCAACGGAGTGTGGTGTGACGGGCGCGGCGTCAGACCCCAGACCTTCTCACCAAACTCGTGACCTAAGGACTAGCCAATCTAAAACCGTGATGTTACGTGCGTAACAATACCACGCCCAGCAGCTGCACCCTGCACAAAGATTTTCCAGCTAATGGACTACAATCTGTGTACCTGCAGCCTGGACGCGATTGTTACTGGGTCAGGTTAATTACGCAATTAACCCTTCACACTGCCACCACCTCCTTTTTGTACAGAGAAAGAGGAAACTCTGCAATATCAGCAATACACTAGGATGATTGGTTAATCGTCGGTATCCCGCTATCTCCACAGACAGGTTATAGAGGGTTAAACACTCATAGTAGCGCTCTTCAGCGGCAGGGATTTGTAAGTTACAGTCAAGAGCTATAGAAACAGTTCAACACTTTCAGAAAGTAAAGTTTATTTAAAAAAGTTAAGAAAGTTAAGCAGTTTCAAGTCTGATGAGCTTAAAAGGGATTTCTGGTCTCGACTGCTAGTTTTGTTGGTTCATCGCAGGAGACTTAGCTTTCTCTCGGTCTGCTAGATGTTAACACGCAGACGGTCCTCACTTCTCTGACAACACACAAAGCATAACAGCTTCTTTTTCTACACAAAATCAACTGGTATCTTCCTACAACGGACAAGCCAATACCTTATTTGGCAAGAGGATTGTATAGACAGCCCCTTAGCAAGGTAGGCTGAACGCATTCCTGAGGGAGGGGGGAAATCAGAGGAGGGAGACTGATTTGTTTTGGGGAGAGATACCAAAATGTAGATGTTTGGAACAGAATGGATGACCGCCCCCATCTCTGTGTGCATGATTGTGACACCTCCCCCCTCAGGTGGTTGCATGGGAGGGAACTACAATTTCCCTCCTGACGCAACCGACCTCTCTGCCCAGAGGTTCACTTTGGGTTGACAGGGTACCATTGCACTACGGGAGAAACAAGGTTCCTTCTGTTGTGCCGACCAAGTGAGTGGTCACGGGGGAGCACCAGTCGGCTGTGACTATCCGGATATCGTGGAGACTGCCGGGGTGCCCACCTGTTCACAAAACACTTTGGCTCAGGGGTGTCATCTGCTAACATATTGATATGTAGCTTTTTGTCGAGCTAGAGAATGAGCTTTCCCTCTCCCATCTCCTTCCTCTGAACCAGGACTACATCTGACCCGAAGGTAGTGGCGCCTGTGTGTACCGGAACCTGACAGGCAAATTCTGGAAATCGCTGCCCAGATGGGTCCACAGGTACCTTTGTCCAAGATGAACAGTCCTCTTTACCTGCTAGCATCCAGGACACCAGTTCCGTCAGTTTCCTGTCTGCTAGGTCAGTCATGGGTCCAGCTGAGCCAGGATAGGTGCACCCAGGCGTCTTATCGTAGCCAGCTGCATCCAAGACTGACGAAACCTGCTTTTTGACCTTGGGAGTAGGCCAGGCCATAACTGCCTCAGTCTCCCCATTCCCAGACCTCTGAAGGTCTCCTCCTACCGGTGGTTCCCAAAACTGAACCACTGACATGCCCCTCTGACAGTTACCATTCTTGACTGTCAGACTAGGCAAGGACAGTTTGTCCCTGACTAGTGACAGGGGCCCGAGTTGCTCTTCCCAGACAGGGCCGAACACCGCAAGGCCCCTAAAGTGGGCAACTGCACCCAGTCCCATTCCACATCATAGGCCATTTCTGACCCCTGGGGAGGTGGTTGGTACATTCTCGACCCCACTTAGCTTCCCCCGGAATTCAGGCAGGCCACATGGGGTGGTGAAGGCTGACTTGTCCTGAGCCTCCTGGGTTAGAGATGGTGGCCCAGACCCTCTGCTCAGGTTCATGAAGGTTAGACAGCGGGCCCCTTGGATGCTTCAGTACCTCATGGCTCCTGGGCATGGGGTAGGCCACAACCACAGGGCTGGCGCTCAGTTTTCTAAGGTCCTCACAAAGTCTGGTCATCTGATCCTGTTTGGGGACGAGACTACCAGGGATGCCCAGTCTCTAGCTGACCCCTGGATTCCTGATGGCGCCATTCCCTCTGTCTCTTTGGCCTGTTCAGTCTGCACCTCCCTGTGAGATGAGGTTGGCTAAAGGCATGGGGGGAAAGTTACACCCTGCCGTCCAACTCATGAACAGCACAGTGAGCTCTCCCCAGGTTTTCCTGAACTTGGACACCATCTATCATAGGCATTGCCAGCAGCTTCTGTACCTGAATGGAAATGAGAGGTGATTGGAGCTGAAGGCTGCAGCCCCCTCTCGTAGATCCGCTGATCAACTCCAATGAGGCCCCTCGCACTTCCAATCCAGATGTGCTGTCACTGCCTAGGACACGTTTGCTTGCCTGATGACACACCAGGACAGGTTAGATCATTATGACATGTTTTCAGTCTCCCTGTCAGGCCTTTGTGTACCCTCAGCAGGGAAGCTCACAGCTATCTGGCTGCTGAGGTCCATGTGTGAATTGCTTTCCAGTGCTGCCTTACACGTGGAAACTACAAGTCCCAGCTGGCTGTCCAGTACCATGCAAGGACAACGGCTGAGCGCTTATCAAGGGAGAATCCTCAGGGCCTGGGGCAAGGAACAGGCCTATCCAGACCATCCCTTTGCTCAGCCCCCAGAGATTGTACCTCTGCCCCCTTCACAGCACTGTGGGTGACCCCCAACAATGAAAATGCATCATTTTTTATCATCATGAAGATCATCATTAGCATTACCAACATTATCATCAACGTGATTGACATTATCAATATCAGCATCATCGTCATCATTATCGACATTACCAATATCAGCATCATTGTCATCATCAATATCAACAGTTACGTTTAAAATCAGTGACACGAGATTTCGATACCCTTCCCATGCAAGGGGATTTCTTCTCGTTCTCCAGCTAACGAAAAAATCTTGCCATCCCACTCCATTCCCAGCCCCCATCCCTCTGTCCATCCACAGGTTGCCCAGACATTACCCCAACATTTGCACAGAGTACCTCGGCATATCCAGAGAGTTCCAGGGGGGCCTTCCGGGTATTCTCGGCAGGGGCGTAATAGGACACAAGAGTACCCAAGTCGGCAACCCCCCAACACAAAACAGGTGTGGGAATTTCAACCGAAACCCCCACAACCCTCATCCCCTTTCCCGCACCCCAATCAATGAATATACCTTTGCACAGGGTATGCGTGAACAGGTCCCCCCAACTCTGTGAGGGTAAGGAACTTTCCTGGGATGAGGTTCCTTTGCTTAATCACCTCTGGCCGGATCAAGGTGACTTCTGCTCCGGTGTCCCGGAAACCAGTTACAGACCGGTTGCCCACAGTGACTGGCTGCAAGTTAGCGGGGTTACCCGCATCTTCCTGTGGACAAAGAGCACGGAAGAAAAGTTGCTGGCCAGATGATGTCGTCTGCTTCTGCTCAGGGACACTGCATCCTGAGATGTCTGACTTTCCCACAGGTGAAACATCTGCGGTTGTCAGTCAGGAATGGCTTGGCCCCCAGGTGCTTCAGGTGTTGTTTGAGGGGGATCTTGACTCACCGGCGTAGGAGGGGTTGCTATGGGCGATTTCCTCCTTTCCAGCCATTTGGAGGAGCCTTGCAAGGGTCAGACACTCGCGTGTAGACGAAGGTATCTGCCAAATCGGCAGCAGCTTTAGTAGAGGCTGGCTCTCTCTCCAAGACAAACTGTCTGACGTCAGCTGGGCAGATGTGTAGAGTTGATCTCGTATCATGAGATCTTCTAAAGACTCGTAGGAGTCAGCTTTCAGTCCTTTAGCCACTGTCGGAATGTGGTGCGTAAGCGACTCGCCACATCCGTTGCAAGTGTCCCCAGGTCCCTTTTGCATGGACCTGAACCGCCTGCGGTACACTTCCGGGGTCATCTGGTACTTCCGGATGATGGCATCTTTTAAACCTTCATAATCGTCTTCCTGCCCCTCTGGCAATTCAACAAACGCATCCAGGGCTTGTCTCGTAGCCCTGGTGTCAGGTACCGAGCCCATTGAGTTGGGGACACATGGTACTGACAGCACAATTTTCAAATGACAGTAAATACATGTCAATGTCACTATCTTTTTCCATCACTGGAAACTTGGCTGCTGTTGCCCACGGCCAGAGAGGCGTCCCTGTGCTCTAGGGACCCAGGGTTCTGCACCTGTTGCTGTGGCTGGAGCCTCGCCATCTCCAGCTTGTGCCGACGATCAGCTTCCCTCTGCACCACCTCTCTATCAGCTTGGCGTTCCGCAGCTTCTCTGTCAGCCG